TAGTAGAGATGGGGTTTCACTGTGTCAGCCAGGATGGTACCAATCTCCTGACCTCGTGATCCACCCGCCTCAGCCTCCCAAAGTGCTGGGATTACAGGCAGGAGCCACCGCGCCGGCCGACTTAATCTTGATTTTAATGTAGCCTGCATCTGTGGCTCTAGATCCCTGGCTGATTGTTCTTTAGGCTTGTAGGTTCTCAAACTTGGCTGCACATTGAAATAACTGAGAACACATTCAGAAATACTGTTGCCTGGGTCCCAATGCCAAAGATTCTGATCCACTTGGTTTGGGATGCAGCCTAAGCATTAGCAGTTTTTTAAGCCTCTCTCCCAACAACCCTAAGTCCCAGGCGACTCTAACGGCAGCCAAAGTTGAGCATATGCTTTTGGCTATAAATGTTCTTGTCCCTTCACCATATAGCACATGGATTAAGGGTCCTCAGTGTACTGTCTGCATAGCAGCAGATGAATTGGATTTGGATAATGTATTAGTTTCCTGTTGCTGCTGTAACAAATGACCACAAACTTAGTGGCTTAAAACAACAGAAACCAAATTTCTTATATTTCTGGTGACCAGAAGTCCAAAACGGGTCTCACCGGGCTAAAATCAAACAGGTCTCACTGAGCTAAAATACGGCAGCACTGCATTCCTTCAGGAAGTGCCAGGAGGGACCCGCCTCCTCGCCTGCTCCAGCTTTTAGAGTCAGCCCTCATTCCTCCATCCATAGCACTACAGCAGTCCAGCCTCTGCCTCCATTGTCATCTCCTTCTCTCTCTCCGGCCCTCTTGCCTCCTTCTTAGAAGGTCTTTTGTGATTGTATTGAGCCCTCAGGGATAATCTCCCTAGCTCAAAATTCTTAATCACATTTGCAAAGTTCCTTTGGCCATGAAAAGTAACACATTCACAGGTTCCAGGAATTAGGACATGGACATCTTTGAGGGGACATTATTCTCTCTATCATAGATAGAGACAGAACAACTGCTGTAATTACAGGCCCATAAATAGAGTTAACTTACTCTATGATGTGTGGCATCTCTTTACTTTGCCCATTTTTTCAACTTTTATTTTAGGTTCAGAGGTACTTGTGCAGGTTTGCTGTATAGGTAAATTGTGTGTCATGGGGTGATATTTCATAACCCAGGTAACAAGCATAAGTAGTTTTCCATCCTCTCCTTCCTCCTGCCCTTCATTCTCAAGTACATGTGTCCATGTGTACTCAATGTTTAGCTCCCACTTACAAGTGAGAACACGTGGAATTTGGTTTTCTGTTCCTGGGTTAATCTGCTTAGGATGATGGCCTCCAGCTGTATCCATGTTGCTGCAAGGACACGACTTCATTTGTTTCTATGGCTGCATAGTATTCCATGGTGTATATGGACCACATTTTCTTTTTTCTTTTCTTTTTTTTTAGACAGAGTCTCGCTCTTTCTCTAGGCTGGAGTGCAGTGGCATGATCTCGGCTGACTGCAACCTCCGCCTCCTGGGTTCAGGTGATTCTCCTGCCTTAGCCTCCTGAGTAGGTGGGACTACAGGCATGTGCCACCATGCCCGGCTAATTTTTGTATTTTTAGTAGAGATGAGGTTTCACCATGTTGACCAGGATGGTCTCGATCTCTTGACCTCATGATCCACCTGCCTCAGCCTCCCAAAGTGCTGAGATTACAGGCGTGAGCCACCGTGCCCAGTCCCACATTTTCTTTTTCTTTCTTTCTTTCTTTTTTTTTTTTTTTTTTTTTTTTTTTTTTGAGACGAAGTCTCACTGTGTCACCCAGGCTGGAGTGCAATGGCGTGATCTCGGCTCACTGCAACCTCTGCCTCCAAAGTTCAAGTGATTCTCCTGCCTTGGCCTCCCAAATAGCTGGAACTACAGGCATGTGCCACCATGTCCAGCTAATTTTTGTGTTTTTAGTAGAGATGGGGTTTCACCATGTTGGCCAGGCTAGTCTCAAACTCCTGACCTTGTGATCCACCCGCTTTGGCCTAAGTGCTGGGATTATAGGCATGAGCCACCACATTTGGCCCGGCCCCACATTTTCTTTATCCCGTGCTGTTGGTGGGCATTTAGGTTGATTCCGTGCCTTTGCTATTTTGAAGAGTGCTTGTTTGGCCTTTCTTGTTTTATCTGTACTATGATTTAATCAGAGAACATCTTTGTGGAAAATTATACACCCTGGTGAAAATTTAACATGAAAAACAATGAGAGCCTGGGAGCAACAGAAATCAAGAGCAGATACACATTTTTCAATAGTTCAGTTAAATGACACTCAGAACTGTAATTGGCTGTGGTGGGTTTATTTTATTTTATTATTTTTTTTTTAGTCAGAGTCTTGCTCTGTCGTCCAGACTGGAGTGCAGTGGCGCAATCTTGGCTCACTGCAAGCTCTGCCTCCCAGGTTCATGCCATTCTCCTGCCTCAGCCTCTGGAGTAGCTGGGACTACAGGCGCCTGCCACCACGCCCAGCTAATTTTTTGAAGTTTTAGTAGAGACAGAGTTTCACCGTGTTAGCCAGGATGGTCTCGGTCTCCTGAACTCATGATCCGCCTCGGCCTCCCAAAGTGCTGGGATTACAGGTGTGAGCCACCGCGCCCGGCCTGTGGTGGGTTTTAAAGGGCAGATAGAGATGCTCACTCACTCTGGCGGAGGACTGGCCACCAGGCCTGGGGAATGACTGGCATCTCTGTCGTGTAGTTTCCCTGCCTCCCCCATGCTCTGTGAGCCTGGCAGTGCTGTGGGACAAGGCGCCAGCTGGCACCTGCAGCTCTGCTAGCAGCTCCCTCCCTCCTGGACAAAGAGTATGAAGGCCGGCAATAACACTTTGGGCCCTGAGTTAGAGGCATGGTCAAACGATGTGAGGTGGGAAGAGACCGGGGCCAGCCGGGTGCAGTGACTCACACCTGTAATCCCGGCACTTTGGGAGGCTAGGGTGGGAGGATCAGTTGAGCACAGGAGGTCAAGGCTGAAATGAGCTATTATCATGCCACTGCACTCCAGCCTGAGCAATAACACAAGACCCTGCTCCCCCACCCCGCAAAATAGAGGGGGCTGTACATACAGGCAGAGAAGAGTTCTGGAAGATGTGGTTTTAGATAATGATCGCCATTTACTGCTGAATGCACCTGCCATCTCCTGCCAGATGGCAGAGGACCTTCAACAAGGAGGCCTACAGGAAAAAATGTCTTTGTACCGAGGGACTCATCTGACCCTATTACCTGTTCTGGGGGCCTAGCTCCCTTCTTCCACCAAAGCCCCATGGTGGCTCTTTCCAGCTGCTTTCTGTCTTGCAGGACAGTGGTGTCTAGCCAGCCATCTCCTTCCCCACTGAGTTGGTCAAGACCTTGTTGCTGAGAACTCTCTCCTGCCAGAGCTTGGCCCCATCTGTTGCCATGGCAACAGCCAGCTGCTGCTTAGCACCAGCCTGGAGACTGGGCACAGAAAAGGGTAGCCAAGGGAAGTAGGCACTGGAGCTGCCCTGCGCCCCTGGAGACCTGGGGGTTGGGGGGCAGATAAGGCCCCTTTGGGGTCTCCTGTTAGTCTATGATGGGTTTGTTCTCTCAGGGAGAAGCCATGAAATTTGAAAGATCTAAATTCCTCTCTCTTCCTCCACAATGGAATCAGAGTTTGTGAAGATAAAGGTTCCTTTGCCAAGGCAATTCCAGTGCTTACACACATACACTCACACACAGTCCTTCACATTGGCGTGCACTTTCTTTTTGTACTTGACATGATATTGACATCTAAGAGGGTTAGAGAGCTGGGAGTATGCAACCGCCCAGGCTTGCTTTAGGTATAAAACTTGCCCTTTGATGCAGATAGATTTGAATTCAAAACTTTTCCATTTCTATGTGACCCTGGGCAAGTTAACTATCAATAATGATAGGTAATATTTATTGTCAGGCATTGTGTTAAATGCTTTCCATGCATTATTTTATTTGATTCTTACAGTAATCTTATCAGTTGTTTGTTCTTACTTCCCATCCTCAGATACAGAAACTGAGGCTCAGAAATTTACCCTATATGTTCCCAAGTTTGACTCACTCTAAAGACTGTGTTTTTTTTAATTTTTAACTCAAATTTTTTAGAGACAGGGTCTCGCTCTGTCACCCAGGCTGGAGTGCCATGGCACAGTCATGGCTCACTGCAGCTTTGCACTCCTGGGCTCAAACCATCCTCCTGCCTTAGCCTCCTGAGTAGCTGGGACTACAGGTGCACACCACTGCACCCAGCTAATTATAATTTTGTGTGTGTGTCTAGAGAAAAGCTCTCACTATGTTACCCAGGCTGGTCTCAAACTCCTGGCCTCAAGTTGATTCTCCTACCTTGGCCTCCCAAAATGCCCAGCCTGAAGCCCATATTCTTAATCAGTGTTTAGTATTAACCCTGGATTGCCTTAATTTCCTCATCCGTAAAGTGGGCATAATATCTGCCTCACAACCTAATTGTGTTGTGAGGACTGAATGAATAATGAAAAATATAATGTGAGTAAAAGTGTCTCATGGAGGCTGGGTGTGGTGGCTCACGCCTGTAATCCCAGCACTTTAGGAGGGTGAGGCGGGCAGATCGCAAGGTCAGGAGATCGAGACCATCCTGGCTAACACAGTGAAACTCTGTCTCTACTAAAAATACAAAAAAAATTTAGCCGGGCGTGGTGGCAGGCGCCTGTAGTCCCAGCTACTTGGGAGGCTGAGGCAGGAGAATGGCATGAACCCGGGAGGCAGAGCTTGCAGTGAGCCGAGATCATGCCACTGCACTCCAGCCTGGGCAGCACAGTGAGACTCCATCTCAAAAAAAACAAAAAAAAAAAGAAAACAAAAAAAAGGTCTCATGGAGGTAAAGTAAAGCCCTGGCAGATTCTATCAGCAGAATCACTGGGGAGGTGAAAGATGCTCACCTTTGAGTCCTAGGGAAGTTGTCCTTCCCCTGCTCTCCCAGGTTACTCACGGCATTCAGGGCTCTCTGGTTTCCAGAATCTCAGGGTCTGGTTCTTTCCCTGTCTCCACAGGTGATTTCCATGGTGATGGTGGCTGTGGGTGTCTACGCTCGACTGATGAAGCATGCAGGTGAGCTGTAGCTCTCCCTCCCTGCCCCCACCTTGTGCCATGCCCCTTCCCCCTCTGCCTCCTTCAGCCTGGCCCTCATACATAAGCTATGGTGCTGAAGGAGGCAGCCTCCCTGGAGCCAAATCTTCATGGTCTACATAGGTGTCAGACCCCCTCCACACCAGTGCCCCTGGATTTCCCTGAGCCCCTCTGAGTCTTCCAGGATATGCCTACATTTGAGGCTTAGGAAGTGTCTGAGAAAGAAGCTAGGCCCCTGGGAGCAGACAGTCATCAAGTGCTTTAGCCCCTCCCTAGCTCTGTTCTGGAGAAACCCAACCACCATTCCTATTTCACCACACAAGTCTCCAGGAAACAGAATCTGCAAAGCTGGTGAGCCTAATGCCATTCTAGTTGTTTTCTGGAGGGAAAGCATCCCCTCCTCTCTTAAGCCCAGGAATAAAGGCTTTTATTTCATTAGTTTCTCAAATTAAATGCCACAACCCTTCTGGCCCCTTTTTGGTTCTCCCCCTGGGACAGGGGTACTGCCTCCGCTTAACCTTCATCCAGCCATACTGGGGATTCCCCCACCAGGGGAAGGAGAACAGTTTGGGGCACCCTCCCACCCCATCCATGGGTTCCTCAGTGGGCACTGGGCTCAGGCTGAGGTCCGGCTCCTTCTCCAGAAGCAGCCCTAGCCTGCCTGGCGGTGGACCCTGCCATCCTGCTGGTCGTGGTGGGTGTCCTCATGTTCCTGCTCACCTTCTGTGGCTGCATTGGGTCCCTCCGTGAGAATATCTGCCTCCTGCAGACGGTGAGTGGTCAAGGCCCCACAGGAAAGACCCTGGCCCTCTCCCCATTATGCCTCTTAGCCTCCTGAGGCCCTTTGGTTTCCTTGTCCCACCCTACCCCCAGGCCTGTGCTGTCCACTCCTCAGTGCAGAGCTCAGCCCAGGTGACCCAGCACAGGGTGGCCACCCCTAGGACAGTGTCCCAGAGGCAGCTGCCTTTCTCATGTGTGGGGCATCTGGGAGAATTGCCTGGCAGCTCCCAGCATCCCCATGGCCCTGGGAAGGGCCGCTGCCCTGAGTGGTCCCAGACGCCGCCTCTTCCTGCTGCTCCACAGTTCTCCCTCTGCCTCACCGCCGTGTTCCTGCTGCAGCTGGCCGCTGGGATCCTGGGCTTCGTCTTCTCAGACAAGGTAATGCTGGGAGCCAGGAGGCCTCCTCAGATGTGACCCAGAGGGAGGAAGGAAAGTTCCTGCCCATGTTTAGCCTGGTTAATTAACCACAGCGCTCCTTCCCTTGAGAAACATCAGCCGTCGAAAAGTTCATTAAGGGTGAATGAACAGCCTGTAAGCTCATCATATTTGAAGAGAATTTTAAGATCATAAGGTGCTTTCCTCTGACAGTCTAAGAAGCTAACAGGGAAGTAAATTATACAAACACAAAATTAAAATAATTTAGAAACTTTAATGGCAAATGACAGAATCAAACTCAATAATCAAGTGGGCCACTCTTACTTCTTTTAAAAATTGTTTATTGAGATAAACAGAAGGAAGGAAGGAAGGGGGAAGAGAACAAGATTTCGTTTTGAGGTTTTTTTTCTTTTTTCTTTCTTCTTTTTTTTGTTGGGGGTGGGCGGATGTTGTTTTTGTTTTTTAAGAGATGGGAGTCTCACTAGGTTGCCCAGGCTGGCCTTGAACTCCTGGGCTTAAGTGATCCTCCTGCCTCCGTCTCCTAAGTATCTGGGATTACAGTCATGTGCCACCATGCTTGGCTTAAGAAAAGGTTTTTTTGTTGTTTTTTTTTTTAAGACGGAGTCTCTCTGTCGCCCAGGCTGGAGTGTAGTGGCGCAATCTCAACTCACTGCAAGCTCTGCCTCCCAGGTTCACGCCATTCTCCTGTCTCAGCCTCCCAAGTAGCTGGGACTACAGGCACCCACCACCACGCCCGGCTAATTTTTTGTATTTTTAGTAGAAACAGGGTTTCACCATGTTAGCATCCTGGCTCTCGAACTCCTGACCTCGTGATCCACCTGCCTTGGCCTCCCAAAGTGCTGAGATTACAGGTGTAAGCCACCGTGCCCGGCCAAGAAAATGTTTTGAACAATGCTTGCCATATCTGGAAATAGTCTGCCATTCAGTGACATTCCTTTTTAAGAACCAGAATGCCTTTCCCAAAAGGCAAATGATTGCCAAGGGCAGAGTACAAAAACTATGGAAAGAAAATTTGAGAAAAGTAGTGGGGCAGGAAGGAAGAGACTATGGTAGAAAATTATGAAATTGGGCCAGGCATGCTGGCTAATGCCTGTAAACCCAGCATTTTGGGAGGCCGAGGTGGGCAGATCACTTGAGGCCAGGAGTTCAAGTCTAGCCTGGCCAACATGTCGAATCCCTGTCTCTACTAAAAAACACCAAATTAGCCGGGTGTCAGGAGGCTGAGGCACAAGAATCGCTTGAACCCAGGAGAAGGAGGGTGCAGTAAGCTGAGATCGCGCCACTACACTTCAGTCTGGGCGACAGTAGAACTGTGTTCTAGAGAAGAAAAAAAAGAAAAGAAAAGAAAAGAGAAAAGAAGAGGGGAGGGGTAGGGAGGGGAGGGGAGGGGTAGGGACGGGAGGGGAGAAGAGAAAATTATGAAATCGAGAGCCGCTGAGTTAATTCCGAATTTTCTAGTCCTCCTGGCTTAGAAAGATCCTGAAATGATGTATTAAATAGCTGAGTCTAAAGAGATGCAATTATCTCGTGTCCACTAGAGGGCAGTGCCTCAGCTCAGTAAGCTACTTTCTGCTAAAAAATTAAAAATTAATTTGTTTTCATCAGTCAACAAGTATTTTGTGATAGTAGCATTCAGAGATAGATATGCATTGGAATATCTTGAAATGTGTCTCTGAAAAGCTTCAACAGCAGGTCCAGCATTTCTCCTGCCCACTGGTACCTGAGGGCCTTGGGATGGATGGGCTTTGGAACTGAACTGGCTATCTTCCACCATTAGGACTCAGTTCTGATTTCAAGGCAGACTCAAGTAAGAAGGATGACCCCTGTCTACTGTTATTTTTGCAGGAAGGAGCAAGTTAGGGATTAGTCCTGTGTTCTGATTCCTTGCCCATGTCTCTGGCAGGCTCGAGGGAAAGTGAGTGAGATCATCAACAATGCCATTGTGCACTACCGAGATGACTTGGATCTGCAGAACCTCATTGATTTCGGCCAGAAAAAGGTATGGGTCAGCCAGTGGTCTGGGGGACTGTGGGTAAAAGTGAACGTCATCCCAAGAGATGCCTCACCCTCTGTGCCTGTGGAGCTCTTCATTACCTGCCAGGTAATGGCTTCTGGGAAGGGGTTTGGCAAAAAACCATACGTAGCAGAGTGCTTTAAATGTACTTTTAAAGACACAGAACAGTATATATTGTAATCTACTGTGTTGTAAGTGGTTACCTACAGGGGAATGAGGAACTGCGCAGATTCTTGAATATTACCTCTTCGAAAGTGACATTTTCGGCTGGTCCGAAGGGAGTGAGTTATCTCATTTGATTGTTCACAGTCAGCTACAGATCGAACTCCTTGTTCTACTCTTCCCCCCTCTCCCCATTCTCACTTCTGCACTTGACTAAACTAAAAAAAAGAAAGTTACATTTTAAAAATTATGATAAAATTTACATAATGTAAAATTTACCATTTTTAAGCATATAGATCTGTGGCATGAAGTACCTTCAATTGTTGTGCAGCCATCACCACCCTCACCTGAACAAACACTCATCTTCCCCAGCTGAAACTCTGTATTCATCAAACACTAACTACCCATTTTCCTCTCTTGAAACTCTATATCCATCAAACACTAACTCCCCATTTTCGTCTCTTGCAACTTTGTATCCATGGAAACACTCACTTCCCATTTTCCTCTCCTGAAACTCTGTATCCATTGAACGCTAACTTCCCATTTTCCTCTCTCCCAGCAACTACTTCTGTCGGTAAATTTTACAACTCTAGGTACCTCAAATGAGTGGACTTACAGTGTTAATGCTTTTTTGAGTGGCTTATTTCACTTAACATGTCTTCAAGTTTCATCCCTATTGTAGCATGTGCCACAACTTCCTTCCTTTTGAAGGCTGAATAATATTCCACTGTATGTATATGCCACATTTTGTTTATCCATTTATTCACCATGGGAGACAAGGGTTGCTTCCACTGTTTGGCTATTGTGAACAAGGCTGCTATGAATCAAAAGTTAACATTTAGGCCAGGCATGGTAGCTTACACCTGTAATCCCAGCACTTTGGGAGGCCAAGGCAGGCAGATCATTTGAGGTCAGGAGTTTGAGACTAGCCTGGCCAACATGATGAAACCCTGTCTCCACCAAAAATACAAAAATTAGCCGGGTTTGGTGGTGCACACCTGTAGTCCCAGCTACTCAGGAGGCTGAGGTACGAGAACAGCTTGAATTTGGGAGGTGGAGGTTGCAGTGAGCTGAGATCGTGCCGTTGAACTGCAGCCTGGGTGACAGAAAGAGACTCTGTCTCAAAAATAAATAAGTAAAAAATGAAAAGTTAACTTCTCCCCCCTCCCAAGACAGAGTCTTGCTCTGTCACCTAGGCTGGAGTGCAATGGCATGATCTTGGCTCACTACAACATCCGCTTCCTGGGTTCAAGTGATTCTCCGTGTCTCTGCCTCCTGAGTAGCTGGGATTATAGGTGCCCCCCAAACCACACCCAGCTAATTCTTGTATTTTTAGTAGAGATGGGGTTTTGCCATATTGGCCAGGCTGGTCTTGAACTCCTGACCTCAGGTGATCCGCCCGCCTCCGCCTCCCAAAGTGCTGGGATTACAGGCGTGAGCCAAGCACCTGGCCAAAAAAGTTAACTTTTAAGTAAAAGTGCTTTGAGACAAGTCCTGAGTTCCCCTTTCTCTGGTGCAATAGACACTTGACTTTGAGATCCAGTTTGCTCTCATGGAGTAATGATGGACTCACAATATTGAAGATTCCTCTCCTGTGTTTTCTCTATCTTAAGGAGAAGTTTCTCAGAACTGATCCTTTAATTGTATCAGTCAATACTTTTGATCACTTCCATTTGCCTGCAAAGCCAAAAACTTCTCTCAAGAAGATTATAGCTGACTATGTAAAACAAAATATATGTACAACTGTAATACCAACAAGCACAGTGGTAAGTTATAACCAGATATACAAAGTAATAGAAATTAAGAAGTGAGAATATCTTCAGGCGAAGGCAACTGGGAAGCTGGAGCTCAAAGTTTAAGGCTGTGTTAAAACACAACCCGAAGTTCCCAGTGGAAGCTTCCTATAGACTTTTGGTGGCTCTGAGAATTCCCCTGGTCACCTCAGTGTGAGGGGTGGGTGATTGTTAACCTCTGGTGGGTTTTGTTGCAGTTTAGCTGCTGTGGAGGGATTTCCTACAAGGACTGGTCCCAGAACATGTATTTCAACTGCTCGGAAGACAACCCCAGTCGAGAGCGCTGCTCTGTGCCTTACTCCTGTTGCTTGCCTACCCCTGACCAGGTAAGCCAGCATCCCACCTCACTTCCTCCTGGGCAGCGAGCTGAGTCACTTTCTGATGGGGGCAGCTTCTATTGGGAATCCCCATCCCCTAGCTTAACCAGTCATGTGGGACAGGTGTCAGGTGTTTTCATTCACCCCAGCCTGATGCTTCTGTTAACCTCGCACTCCTGTAGCCCACATGGAGTTCAGAAGGTACAGATTTAACTTTTAAGTTCAGGTTCAGTACCTGTGCAGATTTGTTACATAAGTAAACTTGTGTCTTGGGGGTTTGTTGTACAGATTATTCCACCACCCAGAGCAAAGAGACCTGGACCTTGACCTCTCAGAGGAAGGAAAGTCTGCATTTGGCAACTTCCAACCCAACATCCTCCACATATATTCTCTGACAATTTAGGAGTTTAGGAAGGGTGTTCTGGAAGCCCATCAGCTAAGGGCCCAAACAAAAAGTTATTGGAATTAGAGTCCCAACTGGCTTTTCAACTCTTTCCCCAGGCAGTGATCAACACTATGTGTGGCCAAGGTATGCAGGCCTTTGACTACTTGGAAGCTAGCAAAGTCATCTACACCAATGGCTGTATTGACAAGTTGGTCAACTGGATACACAGCAACTTATTCTTACTTGGTGGTGTGGCTCTAGGCCTGGCCATCCCCCAGGTAACTTACCCTGTGAGACCTGTGGGTCCCACACACTCTGTAAAGACTCCTTTGTTTTGGGGAAGGCCCCCCGGGGATCAGCGAGGGTGTCAGGCACTGACATGGCTGAGGGTGGGGAAAGGGATAGTGCTGGCCGCACTGGAAAGATCGAGCCAGGGAAAACAAGGCCATCACTCACTGCTGAGGGCCCAATTCCTTCTTGCCTCTCCCAGCTGGTGGGAATTCTGCTGTCCCAGATCCTAGTGAATCAGATCAAAGATCAGATCAAGCTACAGCTCTACAACCAGCAGCACCGGGCTGACCCATGGTACTGAGAATCCATCCTGCACCTCCTCACCATGGCAACTGGCAAGCCTCATCAACCAACAGCAGCGGGTGCTGAGAACAGCACCAAATGGAGATTTGGATTTCAGCCCCCCAGTGACAGCCCAGTGGGAAGAAGCAAACTCCAGATGGGCAGAAGGCAGGGTGCACAGGTGGCTCCGGTCTCAGGAGGATGCACCCCCTCTCCCCCATCCCAGCCCTCAGCATTGTGCGAGAGTGATACCCTTAAGTGTTTGGGTTTATGTTTTTAGTTTTGTTTGGGAAACAGCAGTTGCACAGAGAGTTACGGTGTAGTGCTGCTGCCGTTTCACCGAGGCACTGCCACCACCAGCTCTATCAGGGATGCTCCTGAGCTTGGCGGACATACTTAGATCCTAACGTGCCAGTGAGACCTGGCTGTGGAGAGTAGCACTGGCAGCCCTGCCTGGAGTCCAGTTGGCATGATACCAGCTCCAGAAGGGAAGAGAGTGGAGCAGACAGTGAGGAGCGAGCCTGGGGGTCGGCTGGGGACAGCCGTATGTGCTAGCTGGGAGTGGAGGGGGATATGTTTACCAAATGCCTGCCCTGCCATCCTCCCAGGTAGTCAGAGTGAGCTATATCCTGCCCCGCCTTCATTTCCATGGAAACATGGCAGCTAGGGCACGGGGTACAGCAGCAGCCAAATTCTTCCCCACCTCCCCTGCTTTGAAAAAAAGTTTGGAACCCTGGTCCCTATACTCTGCAGTCAGAAGTGGGACTGAGCCATACATGCCCTTGAATTCCTCCCTGTCTGGCCAGCAAGTGGGGTTTTCTTTAACTTGGCAGTGTGCAGAGGAGAAGTGGTAACACCCCCACCCCATTCCCCTGCATCGGAGCTCAGTATTCCTGCAGGGTAAGAGGTAGGAATCTTGCTGGTACGAGCGGAGCCAGAAGTGGCAATAAAAAACGTGTTGACCTGGGCTACGCTGGACTCCATGAATTTTCCATTCTGGCAACTGGAAGGGGAGGAGTAGAAGGGCCCTGCAGAGGACGGCACTGGAGACTCCTAAACGCCACACACCTCCCCCTTGCTGCCCCCGACACGCGCGTCTCCTTCAACCGATGCATTGCCACCCTCCCACAGCCTCGCCCTCAGCTCTAAATTAGGTCGAAAGAGTCCCAGTTCCGATCTAGGAACAGCATAATTTTCTTCCAAAACCTGATGTGTTTTTTTCTAATTAAAATTGATTAAAATTAATTTGTCACCCAAAACAGGAGGGGAATGGGAAGGAGGGACATGAGCACTCCGCTGGGGCCGGGACGGGGGATGAGGAGGAAGAAGGCCCTTTCCCCTACCCGGGCCCTCCACGCCCTTTTCCCCCAGTCTGCTGTAGGGAGGACTCCGAGGAAGCTCGGCGCGGTGCGCTGGACCTCCTGGCGCCGGGAGGAGCGAGCCAGGCAGGCGGGGCGGGCGCGTCCGGGGCGGGGAGCTGGGCTTCGTGGGTGGTCCCCGCCCCCGCGGCGGCCTCTGCCCGCGCCTGGATTCCCCCACCCGGAGGAGCTGGGGACTGTGCGAGCCGCTTTCCCACCTAGTGTTCCCGGAGTCCCTTGACGCACCCCGCTATCGGGTGCTCAGACCAGGGTCTCAGACTGGCAGGGGAAAGCCTCGACCGAACTGCTGGGGGGACAAAGAGCCGCGAGTTCGCTCCCTGCCCCCAGTGTCTCCTAAGCGAGCCTTCTGCTCCTAGGAAGGCGCCTTTCCAGCAGCCGCCTGGGACCCTGGCCAGTGTTTAGCTCCCAACTAGTAACAGACGGAAAGAAAAAATAAAATCATCTAGAATCTAGAATAAAAAGTAAGGGCCCTTTATTCTGGGAGAGGACAGTTAAAAAGCGCGCTTTCTTGCTAACTTGCCTTTCTTGCTTAGTGCCAGAGACGTGCACTTTATAAACTTCTTTAAGTGACACGGACCCAGAAGTTGATGTCTTGGGTTAGAGGCCAGAGTGATGCGCCCTCTGGGTTCAGCGGCTTTGAAGAGCTCACCCTGCAGCGGGGTCCGTTTGGGGCCCCTTGGAGGAAGTAAGAGACCAGGAACCCTGACCCTCAGAATGATCATTCAAATCTGGATAAAACTACACTTTCACCATGGCCTCTACTGTCTCTCAATATCTAGCCTCCTGGGTCTGGATTAAAAGGCTGGGAACTTCTGCTCATGCCCCAGACTTTATAACGCATAGAGCAAATGTTCAGTATAGTGCAGTTCAGGGTTCCTAGCTAAATTGCAAATTGCCAATGTCCCTGATTCTCAGTCTCTAACTTTCTTTCTCTTCGGCCTGATGCTGGGGAAGAAAATGCGTGAAGTGTTATATTTCATGTTTGCTCCTTGAATTTCTACCTATTTCTAGTAACTCTCCTCCCAAGCACACTCTGTTACCAGACAGGAGTTCTGATCCAGACCCAAGACAGGGTTCTTGGATCTGACACAAGAAAGAATTCAGGGCAAGTCCATAAAATGAAAGCAAGTTTATTAGGAAAGTAAAGGAATAAAGAATGGCTACTCCGCCGGGCGCGGTGGCTCAAGCCTGTAATCCCAGCACTTTGGGAGGCCGAGACGGGCGGATCACAAGGTCAGGAGATCGAGACCATCCTGGCTAACACGGTGAAACCCCGTCTCTACTAAAAAATACAAAAAAAACTAGCCGGGAGTGGTGGTGGGCACCTGTAGTCCCAGCTACTCGGGAGGCTGAGGCAGGAGAATGGCGTAAACCCGGGAGGTGGAGCTTGCAGTGAGCCAAGATCCGACCACTGCACTCCAGCCTGGGTGACAGTGCAAGACTCCGCCTCGGAAAAAAAAAAAAAAAAGAATGGCTACTCCACAGACAGAGCAGCCCCAAGGGCTGCTGGTTGCCCATTGTTATGGTTATTTCTTGATGATATGCTAAACAAGGGGTGGATTATTCATGCCTCACCTTTTTAGACCATATAAGATAACTTCCTGACATTGCCATGGCATTTGTAAACTGTCATGGTGCTGGTGGGAGCGTAGCAGTGAGGATGACCAGAGGTCACTCTCGTCACCACTTTGGTTGTAGTGGGCTTTGGCTGGCTTCCTTGCTGAAATCTGTTTTTATCAGCAAGGTCTTTCTGATCTATATCTTGTGCAGACCTCCTATCTCATCCTGTGACTTAGAGTGCCTTAATCTCCTAGGAATGCAGCCCAGTAGGTCTTAGTCTTATTTTACCCAGCCCCTATTGAAGATGGAGTTGCTTTGGTTCAAACATCTCTGACACCACTACTTTAGAATAGCTAATCAAATATAGGCCGCATAGGTGGTTGAATGAAAGGAGATTCTTGGGGATAGCAGAAATCAGGCTGGGTACACAGACAGAGGTGGAGAGAAAGGCCTGAAGGATGGTGAAAACCTGGCAGAGTGGCACGCCAAGTAAGGCACCACTAAGTTCTGTGGGCCTCAAGCTCTGCAGTTAAACAAAGACTTGTGTCCAGAAGAGCAAATTTTGCAGAATGTTCAGTGAAATTCTGATTTCCTCCTATCAATTTTTTATTGCTGCTGTTACAAATTACCAGACATTTAGTAGTTTAAAGCAACACAAATTTATCTCACATTCTGGAAGTAAGAAGTTCAAAATGGGTCTCATTGAGCTAAGATCAAGGTGTGAGCAGGGCTGTATTCCTTCTCGGGGGCTTCTGGAGACCACCTTTGGGTGGTCCCTTTCTCCAACTTCTGTCATCACATCTCCTTTTTCTCTGACTCTCCTACTACCCCGTGACAGGACCCTTGTAATTGTATTGGCCCATCTAGATTATCCAGGATGCCCTTTGTCAGGCCTGTGAGCCCAAGCCAAGCCATCGCATCCCCTGAGACTTGCACGTATAAGCCCAGATGGCCTGAAGTAACTGAAGAATCACAAAAGAAGTGAAAATGCCCTGCCCCGCCTTAACTGATGACATTCCACCGCAAAAGAAGTGAAAATGGCCGGTCCTTGCCTTAAGTGATGACATTACCTAGTGAAAGTCCTTTTCCTGGCTTTAAAAGCTCCCCCACTGAGCACCTTGTGACTCCCACTCCTGCCTTCCAGAGAACAACCCCCCTTTGACTGTAATTTTCCTTTACCTACCCAAATCCTATAAAACAGCCCCACCCTTATCTCCCCTCGATAACTCTCTTTTCAGACTCAGCCCACCAGCACCCAGGTGATTGAAAAGCTTTATTGCTCACACAAAGTCTGTTTGGTGGTCTCTTCACATGGACGTGCATGACACCCTTCCGCAATGAAGATTGTGAATTTCACCACGTCTACAAAGTCCCTTTTACCATATAAGGAAAGAGATGCATCAGTTCTAGGGATTAGGGCATGGACATTTTTGGGGTGGCAGGATTTAGCTCGTTACATCCCCTTTTCAGCCTCGTGCATGCCTTCAGGTGCAGGGCATTTGGGAATGAGCTGATGTTGGATGATAGCAAGAGTTTGAGGTGTTCTCTGGCCTTTGTTCTGATAATTATGTAACATATATCGAGTGCTTACTATGCACCAGGCACATATTTATTATGAAGTTTAATATGCAACCTTTGCCATTTTCTGACTTATCCTCATCCTGAAGACCAGATATGTTAACAGGGCCAGAGACCAGGTTCAAAAAGGAGAGCAGGCCAGGTGCAGTGGCTCATGCCTGTAATACTGGCACTTTGGGAGGCCAAGGCAGGAGGATCACTTGAACCCAGGAGTTTGAGACCAGCCTGGGCAACATAGGAATACCCTGTCTGTACAAAACATAAAAATTAGCCAGGCATGGTGACATGTTGGCCTCTACTGTCTCTTGATATCTAGCCTCCTGGGTCAGTCCCAGTTACTTCAGAAGCTGAGGTGGGGAGGATCACTTGAGCCTGGGGGTGGGTAGGGGTGGGGGTGGGAGGCAGGGAGGTGGGTGTTGAGGCTGCAGAGAGCTGTGATCACTCCCACTGCACTCCAGCATGGGCAACAGAGAAAGACTCTTTCTAAAAACAAAAAACAAAAAACAAAAAAAAACCAGCAAGCAGCATAGCTTCTTCTACCAGCAGTTCTTCTGTTCTATTTTGTAAACACGGCCACCCCACCCCCAAAAATAAGAGTAATTAGATATTTCAAATCATCATAGATAAAGCACTTAGGGGAGAGAATAAAGTAAGGGGTAACCATGGTCTAGAACTCAAGTTGGAAATTAAGCCTCCAGAGTCTTCTCACTACCATATCGGGAACCTGGAAAATCAATCAAATGAATGGAAATAGCAAAGGGATTCCAGAAATATTTTGGACATCGGTGCTCACTGTCTAATAAACAAGAAGCAACGCAATGTTGAGAAGAAGCTGTGATTGTAATCACTAATAAGTGCTATTAGACAAATGAATTATTACAGTGTGGAAAATAAATAACAGATTTCTGCCTCACACTGTGCACTGCAAAGCATTCCAGAAGGGTAAAAGAGCTAAGATTTTAAAGTAAAACAAACAAGAAAACGGGAATAGCAATCTGTCCTAGCTCTAGGAAGCTAAAGTAGACAGCTTTTCAGTGTGTCTGCCCAACTTGCAATGATTCCTTCTTCTTTGGAAACTTTGGAAACCTCTTTGTCCACCCCTTAAGCCACAGAGGTGAGTCTTGAGGAGCCATATTTATCCTCTAAGGCCTGGTCCCCTAGGCATAGCTGATTGGATCCAGCTCAGGCACTCTATTCATTTCCTAGGGCTCCCATCACAAAGTGCCACAAAATTGATCGCTTAAAACAACAGATATTTATTGTTTCACAGTTTTGAAGGCTGGAAGTCTGAAATCGAGGTGTTGACCAGGCCATGCGCCCCCGAAGCCTCCAGGGGAGGATCCTTCCTTGTCCTTTCCAGCTTCTGGTAGCTGGGTATTCCTTGGCTTGTGGCAGCATAAATGTAGACTCTGCCTCCCTCTTCATCTTCCCCCTGTGTCTGTGTCCCAATTTCCCTCTCCTCATAAGGTTACCAGTCTTATTGGATCAAGGCCCATTGTACTCCAGTATCCTTATCTTTTTTTTTTTTTTTTTTTTTTTGAGATGAAGTCTTGCTCTGTCGCCCAGGCTGGAGTGCAGTGTCACGATCTCGGCTTACTGCAACCTCTGCCTTCCGGGTTCAAGCGATTCTCCTGCCTCAGTCTCCCTAGTAGCTGGGATTACAGGCACACACTACCACGCCCAGCTAATTTTTGTATTTTTAGTAGAGTCGGGGTTTCACCATGTTTG